TGCAGAAAAGGTTTGTGTTTTGTGCCCTGTTGAGGCAATCGCCATCATCTGAAGTCGATTTGGCGAATTTCGAAAGTTCACCAACAAACTAGAGACTGCCAGTGAAAAGCGTGGGTTTTTCTTTCTTGTGAGGATTATTCGTTATTGTTTGCGTACGGCGATTATTATTTGTGTGCCATCATAGACCCCCATTCTTTCACCGACCATAATGAAGCCACTCTGCACTACGCAAATTGCAATTTCCATTGGCACGACAGGTTTTATGGGCTGAAAACCAGATCTGCTGTAAGCCAGCTAGTAGGCAAGCGTTTACGAACGAACGACCAGTTCAGGCTCAGTGGATAGATGGGTAATGGCAAAACCAACATCACGAATGCAATTTTCCTCTCCGCTGGTGATCGCTTTTTGTTTGACTAGGCTGCCCGTCCATTTCATCGCAATGCCATCCCGTTCCTTGTTAAACGAACATGCAAGTATGCAATTCTTGAAATTGATTTGTCGGCGTAGTACGGACGGAGTAGATTTCAAATTGGAACGCCATAATGATTCGGTGCACGTGTGTGCGTCAATCTGTTCGCATCTGTGCGATTGCCGATACGATCTGATTTTAATTAAAAAACAAATCACTCGACATTGATGGACAGCAGCTGTGTACCATGTCTTTTGGTTGCCTTCCGAGGAAAGTTGGACGCTCATTATTTACGAGCTTCTTAACTGCAAATCCCAAAGGTCAGAGCGAGCAACAAATGGTCAAAGCGACAAATAATTTGCTTTTTATTACCCTTCGTTTGGTAGGGGCCGAAATTTGATTGCTCTTGTTCGATGTTTCTTTTGTGGCTGCTAATTAGTGGCCATAAATTTTGCGGTCATAAATTATTCCCTGTGTCTGTGAGTGGTTAGATTGCCTCACAAGCATTCGACCTCTACCACGTCTTTGTCAGAATTTGAGTTAATGACACTTATGACTGAGAGACAGCCGAAACTGTATAGGAGCCCAAAAATGATCTTCCGTTTACTGTATCCCGATTCGATTACTGTGGGTTCTGGTATGCCTTATCGGCTTTGAACCGTTTGCACGAACACCTAAGCAAATATTGTAGAGCTTTTATTAATAATGATACCCGTATTTGTTTTGTGTTGCCCATAATAACCATTATGGGTCTGTATGGCTGCTTTGCTGATGTTGGAACGCCAACCCATCCGTCCAGACCTAGGCATGTAGACAGACGTGTATAAGCAATAAGCATAGTAGTTTATCATAATACTAATAATAAGAAGCCGTTCGGCAGTGGGAGAGTATCAGTATACATACACGTTTATGTAAGCCTATCTGTCTGTCTGTCTGTCTGTCTGTCTCACTGTTTGCTTTTCACTTATTTCTCCGTTTTCTCGAACCGATATTTGGAGCCGATGGACGGCGATAATCAATATACAATAATATGGCACAGATACATGTACTGGCATTGTGTGCTCTAATCGTACGTTTTGTATTAGACGCATCGAAATAATTCCGCTTTGTTATTATTTCTTGTATGTTTGTCATGTACGTGTTACGAATTGTAATGAAACCATATCTAAATAATCGACGGCATATCTCGCCTCCGACTTTTTAAAAAACATTGTGAAGTATATCAGCATCGACCAGCAAGCGATTGTGAACGTTAGTTAATGCAACAACACTACTTTCCCCCGCTGCACATCTGTGCCCCAACACGTTCCTCCGCCTACTTCATAACTCAGTGACTTTGGCCGTTTAGTCACGGCACAAAAAGAACTTGGAAATGCGAAAGTTGCCACTTGGCAATTCGATGGTAGTTTGTGTGAAGTGCAAGTGAAGTAAATTGGCTTGGGCCCGGTTCGCAACGTAGGGTTCATTTGTTGACTGGTCTCTTTTGATTACCTTAGAGTTTTCCTCATTTCCGATGTTTATGTGGGCGGCGGAATCCAAGTGTCACCGCCTTTTGGAAAAGGGATTAGTTATCCATCAAACTGGCGGAAAGTTGTGTTTGCAACACAAATGTCCAAAACAGTGGTCAACAATAGTTAAAGCACAATGATAACGTATCGTTGACTTGTGCATACAATCATACACACATCAGTTCAATGCGGGTACATTTATGAAAGCGGCTGTCGAATAGAACTAGCGATTTTGCAACGTCAATGAAAACAATCACTAAGCAAGGCAAAGTCTGCCCAAGGATACCTAAAATATCGTTGGCGATTTGATTTCAATTTCAACAAAAACATAATTATTTTCTTCATAACTTTTCACTACATTAATAGATCAGCAATTACAGTGCACCACCGGGTAGGGCATGGAAAACAATTAACATTTTTTCCACTGCTTCGGTATCGTGAAAAATGTTTCAACAACGAATGCTTTAAGTTTTGTTGTGCTTTTATTTACAAGATTTTTTATATTGACAGATACGCTTTTAATGATAAGTAATTTTTGGTAGTCCAGGATCAAGTCATCCTGGGGTCAATTTTTTATCATGTCACGATATTGGAAATAATATGCAACCCTAATGTACATGAGTGTTGACATTAATTTTCTCTTTCCAAAGACCCAAAATGGAAAAGACTAGACAAAATGTATTGCCGAGGCATGTTAATATAAAAACCTCAATCTCAGAAACGAATGACATATAAAAGTTTAAAAAATCCAAAAATGTGTTTTCAAAATTCTATTCCATAGACCTTTCCAAAAATGTGCATAAGGCGGTTAAAATCAATTAACATTAGTAACCATGTTGTTATGATATCATAACAACAGAGGTATTTTCACAGGGTTGCTCTTCCTTGCCCTATCTTCATACTTCCATGTATTTGATCTTTCTTTACATTTCTCAGTAAATACAAAAATGTAGTCTCTATATTTGGAATCGGGAGTAGATGCGAGAAGATAAATAGATTGTTCTTCGAAAGAAATGGGTTCTTTTTTGAGATATCCTGAGAGTTCCATAATTTATATATGCGCTTTTTTAGTAGTATTTTTTTACGACAATTATTGCATATCCAGTATCGGGAATCGAAGAAAACACAATACCAGTGGGACTCGAGTTCAAAACCCTTGGCTTTGTAGTCGGACGCACACCTCGTGCCGCCTTTACGCATTTCTTGTTATTGAGAAAAAAATAAATTTTGTTTTGCATTTTTTTAAGAAATAACCAATTACTTTCAACCTACTGGTACTGCAGCAGGTTATGGTTCTTAACGTTTCGCCGAGTCGTTTTCCAGCTATTTCTTTTTTACAGGCAAATATCATTGTTGTCCGGTCCTCCTAATTGGCTTTACTACACCGTGCGAAAGCTCAGCAGAATGCTTTGCAAGAGTCAGTCGGAACAGAGCTGCTCGCAGAGGGCCAACAGCCAAATAAAAAATTGAAACATTACGACTTATCAAGTCATTAATTACAAAGCCATATTTTAAAATAATAACGACAACAAAGCCAAAACGACAGATACAAAACAATTTACCCTTGTAAATGATAAAACGAAAATAACAACGAGACTACTTTAAATGAGTGGCATGGCAGGGCAAATGATTAATTTTCTGCGCAAAAGGCAATTTCAGCATTTCGCTCGAGGGATATTTCATTTTCCACAAACAAGCCGTAGCCGAGCATTAAAAACCAACACCAGCAACAACAAGCAGAAACAAAGAGATGACGGCACCATAAATTTCTTCGATTAGGAGTGAATGCTGAGAACGGTAGTAAATACAGGAGCGGTGCTGGGCATAGATGCCATTGTGCACAGAATTTAGGGATGATGCTGATGATGATGACGGTTGATATCTGCCAAAAATGGAAAAGAGCGTTTTCATGAATGGAGCATTGTTGTGCTTCAGAAAGAGGTTACATTTCATTGTGTCTTCGAAACTTCTTACGTTACGACCAATATGAGAGAAATCAAGCGTTCGTTGACAATCCCAAAATTCCCTCCATTGATGTCCTGGAACACCCGGCAAACGCACGGCTGCCTCTTTGTTCACAATAAAATAATGACAAAACCAGTTTCGTTTGTTTGTTTGTCTGTCACCTTTTCACTGGAGTTTTGCTTCTTTTTGGGTTGCGCGTCCGTCCCGACCAACAATTGGTTATAGAAATCATGGACGTTGCTCTGCGGAAATAAAGACAATAAATTAAAAACGCAACCAGAAATCCTGAAGAGAAACCAGAGATAATAGCTTGGTCAGTGAGAGATCACTGCGGTAGGTCGGGTCGTCTTGTAGATCGTGTCATATTTTCTTAATTATCGGGAAAACAATTGAATTTAAGAAGAATTTAGGAAGACTTATTTTCCTTGGAACAATTCCCTTTTCCTCACTCAGGGGAGGGAGTGCCATTGATTAAAAATATATTGAGATATTGCATCACATTCCAGCCAAATACATATAAACAAAACATCAGCGATACAAGCGCACAACAAATGGATACTTAAGCCATTGGGAGCATGTACGCCATGCCCATGCCCATCAAGATGAAGTGATGTGATAAGCTATGCAAATGTTTGCTCTCGACCAATTAAGTGGCTAAAGAATATGTCGTCCACATTAACATATTCTCGAATATAAATAAATAAAAATATTATTCTTTTGTCTAAAATGCCCTTAGGCGGGGTGAGCAGGGCCGGTATCGCAACCAGGCAAACTGCGGCATTGGTGCCGAAAATAAGCGTTTTTCGTTCAAATATCCAAAACATGGAATGCGTGAAGCTCACCAGTGTGCTCCCATTCCAATCTCCGTGATTGAGTGTGTCTGTGTGTGTTTGGAATTTTGTTAAAAATAGGTCTATTCATCTTGAATTATGCTTTGTTGGTAGCGATGGCGAGGTGGTGGGTGGTCATTATGCCTCCCATGCTTCACTTCAGCTGGCAAACTACTTAGCAGCTGGTGTCAGTCGATCTTATCGGCTGATATAGTATATTGAAGCGAACGGATCGAAAAGGTTACGACAACATGATTTATTTGGCATTTATTTCTTTTCTCATTTCAGTTCGTCCAAGATTGGCATCACTGCATGGATTTTGAGGATTGTAAAAGCGTAAGTATATGCCCACAACTAAACGATGTATTAATGTATGTGTTTGTAGCTCCTTCACCTTGTCACAGTATAAACAACAAAGCACACCTCTTTGTAACCCGCTCTATGGATAATCTAGAAAGCATGATATCCAAGATCCCAAAACACGTCTAATTCTTCTAACACGTACTTGTTGGTGGTTTTCATTTTCAAATCCAAATCAAAGTCTGATAGGTCCTGAGCATATATATGCCTTAAAAGAGGGCCAAACGTTTTACAAAATTGGGATTAACTTTAATTTCTCTGGGTCTTTACCAAATCTTAGCTCATTGACATGACATTTTCAACTCAACAAACAAAGAGAGAGAGAGAGAGAGAGAGATAGATAGGAACTCGGCCACACACTTTAGAAATGTATTACAATTTAGCATTGCAGCGAAAAAGTATGAAGAACCTGCACATAGATTCAGGTCAATCGAAAATTTATCGATGAAATCGAAAAAAAGCTTTTGCATTGCTGAGTTGGCAGCCACGGGCAATGCAAAGGACGAACGGCACAGCGGAGTCACATTTGTTTAATGGCAAGGAAAAGCAGTCATGCTAACTGTGCCCAATAGAGAAACAGGAAAGACTTTTGCTGGCACAAACAAACAAAAGGAAGCTATAAACTACCTTTTTTAGGCATTCCTCTGATTGTGTTTTGTTTCTATTTCCGTTTCAAGCCCAGGCCGAGAGAATAGTTTTGTACATTTTTTTTTTTGAGTGCGCCAGGCCATCCAACAGCGTCTTATGAGTTGGCCACACCGGCTCCAAGATAGACATCAGTGACAATAGACATCAATTTTTGGTCGCTTCATATGTTCTTTCCGCCCTTCCCAATATCGATCTAAAAAAGCAAGGGAGCATTTAGCGAAATCATGGACGGACGTCATTTGATGGCTGAACCGTGTGGGCTTCGGCTTAATTTAGCAAGCAGCAAATAGCTACGTGCGTCCAAATATTTACCGGTCTTCGTCCGTGCGAGTGGTCATCGAGCGTATCTAGTCCCTTTACATTCAATGTGCCCACTGGTACTCTCAGTACGCGTGACTTTCCCAATGGAAGTTGATTAAATTATTGGGATTGCAATGTTTGCCAGTCCTTAATCGAAAGTATATGTATATTTGTGAAAAGGAGATAAAATGATTTGTAGTTCAGCTATACCCTGTCACACAAAGCAAATATTTACGTTCATTTTCTGAAAACTGTACCCCTCAATGCTCAAGGGGCGGCGAATTCAACGCACCAGACTCTGTGACGGGAATTTTAATCAGTTTTTATTTCCAACGAACCTTTCCAACCATCGAAGTATTTACACAAGGCATCATTGTTTTTAATAAACGCACATTCATATCTGAGGGCACCCCAGCCCAAATACGCATTTCACATGGGTGGTGTAAAACAAATATCAGTTTTATTATCAGCTCCGCTCTGACAGACAGATTGGTCGATTGGTGTACGTGTGTCAATATTTGCATTCGATAGTTCAACCAGTGCCTGGAGCACCCCTTTGGGAAGCAATAAATTCCTAACAGATCCATTATCGCAGATAGAGGAACATTAAAGACGAATATAAACAAAAAAAAAAAAAAAATTAACGAACAATTACAAGCGAACACCAACGAACAGCTCATTTCCTCGCTGTGCTGTACTACGGCCCCTTGATTTTTTTCGTTTCATTATTTCCAAACTATTTCATTTTGCTCCTGATGATGGATCTCTCGTTTATTTTGATGTTCGTTTGGCTGTTGGGTAAACAAATTTGTCACAGGCAGAGAATATTCGATGCCAACATCTTCCTCGGCGTTCTGGGAAAAAAACTCATTACGGGGCACTTATTATTTTCAAGTGTTACACGATTCTTGATACCCACGCTCCTCTTGCCTTGAAGGCTAGGGGCAGGGAATGCCAGACTGATTTATCGCTCCTGCTACATGCTGCCGAATTTTTGTTCACATTCAAATCCACCATACATATGTTCGCAAGATGTATAGGATTTGACTGTAAGATTGGAATACCAAGAGTATTGTCTCGTCCCTTGTATTCGGTAATGAGTTTCCAAAAAAGGCATTGTCCAAATGGGGGGAAAATATACTTCCCTGAGTTGTACGCGCCAGATAACAATATATGTTGTTTGGTGTTTTTCTAGAATCTTACCAAAATCTGCCTCTTTATTGTGTCATATCCTGCGTTGCCGTACCTCACAAATGCAAGTGTACCTATTTACATGGGCATGCATTCTTAGGATGTAGAGAGTAGCGTTGACGTGTAATATGACACCTTGCACGTCATTAAATATTTGGTCTATTTGAGCAAATCCGTAGCCAAACAAGACAAACACCATGCACTGAAGAATATTTAGTTCGAATTACAAACTGACAAATTGCCAGACACTGTTGTAACGTTAGACCCGTAAAGATTTGCTGTTCTCATGCTTGTCGAAAAAGATACAAATTTACCAAAAGTAAACAGAAGCGCTGAGAATTTCGAATCACTGCTACACTGCGGTCATCAACGGCAGAACAGTTTTGGATTTCCAAAAAAAAAAAAACAAAAAAGCAATCTGACTCGTGAAAATGTTCCATTTTTGTAACGACAAGAAAAACTACTTAAATTTTATGGGTCATCAGAAACCATACTTGTCGGTGACATCGTCGCCCAACGTATGCAGAATGAAGGGGAAACCAATTGCTTTAATGCCGTGGACAGACGAAACAGACAGTCTATGGGATTGAATACGTCCAGAGCTACGCGTACGTAATAGCTGATGCTATGGTTGCATGTAGTAATAATTTTCAAAATGAAAAGAGAAGCACATGTTTCAACTTTAGTGATAGTGCCGATACTCATCAGAAGACACAAGTATGTCATAAACGTAAAGCAATTGACTTTGATTCCTCCTCAAGCATATGGAAAACTTCGAACGGGAAAATCCAGGAATATAAAACATATTTGGTCTTTGGGGAAGTTGTCATTTCTGAATAGCCTACACAAGTACTGTCAGTGTTTTAGACTAGCCATTGGACGTTACCACCATTAGCTTGATCCAATATTTAGCCTTCCCCTCCGTTGTGTAAAAAAAAATATCTTTATCAATTAAAGAGCACATTGATGTGGGAATATATACAGAATAGAAAACACATATATCTATTTGCTTAATAGTACACCCCTCCCCCAAATGTATCAGCATGTTAATTATTAGAAAACACGAACAGATCCCCATCAAATTTGCATAAATTATTAGGACCTACTGAGCAGCCAACCGCATAGGCAGTGGGGGACTGAATCCAAATTTGAAAGCATTTCAAATGCTGTGGTCTTTACAAGGCTGATGATTTTTTGTACGCCTTTTGTTCTTGTAATGGGCGCAAAGAAGACAGCGACAATACATTCTGCAAAGTATGTGCTGACGTCTGGAACAGGCTATCAAATTAACTATGAGATTTGTCGCATGTCTTACAAACCAGTCGAGGATGCTTGCTGATGGTTATGTCGCCACAGTTGTCGTTGTCGGTTGTCGGTCTTCGTTCGTTTCATAGAATGACTATGTCATATTGATGTTTAGTGTTGTTGTTGCTGTTATTTATGTTTCAATAGATTAGCATGTCCGTGTTGTTGATTTTTTTAAACAATTCTGTGCATTATATATTTGTGCGTAAGTGAGTGTGTGTGTGTATTTGTCAGTGGACGCAATTTTCACGAATTTGGTATTTTTTTAATTTTTTATTAGAGGCACCAAACAATTGTTTTTGTTTTTGTTTTTGCATACAGCATTATTGAATCTTCCCCATGCCCAGTCCTTTTGGCACTACCCGCTCCCATAAATTGTATGTATGTGTATGTTTTCCTGTAAATATTGAATGCCTTCATCTATTTTACAGAACTTTCATTTTGGAAAAAAACTTTTTAAACCGAAATTCCATTCTTCTTTTTACGTTACAGATGTGCATCACACCACCAAATATCAATAGTTATATCCCAGAAGCGTTCAGTTTTCTGGTGAGTGTCAATTTAAATTTACCGAAATCGAGTAGTCTTGTCTAAATTTCATTGGTCAATTAACTAGAGCGAAACGCATTTCCGCACCCTTCCCTGCAAAGCTTCCGGATCAACATAATAGCTTACATCATTTTTGGGGAATAGATTTTGAAACTGTTCAAATTCGAACGGCAATACTTACATCATTTGCGAGGTGTTTTGCTTCACATATTATCCCAATCATTTATTCTCTCTCAGACACAATCTATTCGGAGTGCATCAGTCTTGGAGACGATATTGCCCTCAACTGTGACGATTTCCATACAGGAAAGCGCACTGAAGTTTTAATATTCAACACGACAACTGTTGCCACAGCGTAGAACAGCGTTTTTGAAGTTTCCACAGATGATACTCTGACGAAGCAGAGGCTACATTTGTTGAAGAGAACAGCTAGAGCCGGCCAACCACCTAAGCATTTTTAATATGTGCGTCTGTGTGTGTGTGGGTACATCATATAGCTACAAACAAACACGAAAATTTAGGGGGTTCGACCAACGTCGCCAGCTAAGCAAGATGGTGGTTTAATCCATTTGGGTTTTTATGTCGCATCGAGTGTTCAGAGATTTTCAAATTATGCGCATTTTCAATGGCGACATCTTCTACTTCAAGTCGAGATCCAAACCCACTGGCACTGACAACATTTCGGCCAACAGCCACAAAACGCATGCATATTTATGGAAAGAACAACACACTCTGCGTCAGACACGTCAAAGTAGAAATACCAACAAACTTTCCAACACAATACCGATTTGTGTATGTCCGACCAAACCACGCTGCTTGGCATCAGGGGCGATGGAAGCAGGACTAAGTGGGTGCCATAATAGATGTGTGCTGTAGGTAAAAACAGATCCTCCTTCTTCGTATGCCGCGCCGGCTTTTTTTTTTGGGTTAGCTTAATTTATAGATTTATATGCTTTTGTAATGATGTCAATACTAACGTCCGTCGTATTGTTCTCTCTTTTATTTCCATTCCAGTGTTGGAACAACTGCGATCAGCAATTGGGCCCCTTCCCTTTGAACATTAACTCTGCGCTGCGGCAGGGTTCGCTGGTGATTACTGACATAGCCTGGGATCAAGCCATCACGAATGCTTCCAAGCAGTGCTTGGTAACTTGGGAGGTCTCCGGAGGCGGTCTAATGGGCAACCTATTGACTGATTCCTCTACTGTTGAATTATCCCTCTGGTCAGATACGGTCTATCACGTACAAGTTACGTGCAAACATAAGGTAAGTTAATATCAGCATAAAATCCATTCGCACACACACCGACACGCACACAAGAGAGCGTTTAGGCCGACGTAGGAAGACTGACCAGCACATGCTGACCTCCGCTTTGCCGATATGAATTTGGCTCATTCATTGTTAGCGCCATCTCCAGATTTATCATATTGTAGTGCGGTGCTCCCAAAACTCGACACAGAGGCTCAGATACCATTTATTGGTGTTGGTGAAAATATTCACGAAGTACGCTGTGGAAACTGAAGTAATTGACCAATTACATCAGTGTTCCTCGCCTGTTGACATTTATCGAAATTTGAAATAGAAAACTGCAATGCTAGTAGCTTTGGGGCAACTTATCCTCTTCCTTCAAGCCTGTGCTGAACTTAATTTCAAATTGCATGGCAGCATGCAATCATCGGAGGTAGATAAGTTCAGTGCCGTATGACAGCCTCAAAATGTAGGCACAGGCTAGCCATCGTTAACGCCTTTCAACAGAACTCAATTCTGTGGTATCCACGTGTATGCGTGCTCTGGACAGGAACACGCAATCATTTACTTATTCCTGAGGAGCACCGCTTTTTCTGGACAATTCAGATGGGTGCCACATGCCGGCCCCAAATGTGACGAGAACAATCTGTTAGCCGCGACAACGTTAATTGATATGTTGAACCATGTTGTTTTGATTAACGACACAAGCCATCTTGGAAGCAATACGACGCTCATTGACATGTGTTATCTTCTTTTCTCTTTTTAGGAAACGGGAGGTATGCGTCGTTCATTCAAATTGATCGTCGATACCCACAAATTGGGCGATAGATCTGCCACAAGTGTGCAGGCCATCTCAATGGACAGTCAGTTCGACAGTCAATATCTGACACCCGGCTACGGCGATGAAAATATCCCACCATCTCCCAGTGAAACAGAGTCGAGGATGCGCATTCTGAAGGATAGTTCCAAGGACTTCTTGGCCCCCTACAATCCAAGCATCGCCACTAAGACGAAAACTTGGAAGAACGCAGATCAAAGAATGACAGTTGACGACGATGTGAAGGACGGACTTAAATATCGCGATAGTGTGCTGCGTACCAAATTAGTCGGAGCACCGGCGAGTGCGGACTCGTTGAGCTTGGCGCAAAACTCTGTTATTGTCGCCCTGATGGGGTCTTCCATTTTGTTTATGGCTGTGGTAATAATTTTTTTAATGATGCGCCCAGCGCGGAAACAAGTACCTGCTGTTGCAACTGCCAATGACAAACAGGTTCTAATACACACGGAAATCCGTCCATCCCCACAGAAAGCGCAGCCAGCACCAGTGCATCGACACACACCAAGCGCACTAATAACGACATCGTTGTCGCCAGCAGACCAGAGCCCAGCGCTGCACGTATAAGCATGGGAAGATGTCGCTAATATGAACTGTAAATATATGTAAATATGATATGCGATCTTCGCGTGTAAATACATACCCAATAAGTCCAGTGTACATAGACACATGCTTCCCCATCGTTGAAGGCGAGATGCGCGTAATGCTGATGCTTGGTGGACAACTCAAAATGTTCGTGTTACCTGATAACGCCCACTCCAACGCGATTACTTTTAGCTTTTGTTGATTTATTTTAAGCGTAGCCTTCGTAGAATTCAGGATAGGTTTTGGCCCTCAGACCTCAGCGGAGGGTTGGGCCAGGACTCTGAGTGTAACTAGATAATAAGACTTCTAGTCCAGTTGGTGTGAATGTGATCGAGTGTGAGAGTCTGTTTGGCTGAGTGCGTGATTGTGGTTTTGTTTATATCTAAGGAACCTCTGCTTTGGAGGGATTTTTTTGTTCGCCACCCTGAAGTGGAGGTGATGAGGGGAGGAAACTGATTAAACTTCTTCACGTCATCGAATCTTCTTCTGCTTCTAAAATTCTAAAGTCGCTTTGCTAGTAATTTAAGCATACTCATAGTCTTCAAATAAATCAAAAGCATCTTCCAGCTATCTCAAGAAATTTGAAACCAGACAAAATAATGGTAATATCATAAGTAATTCAGGTACACATAAATATATATCCCTATTGTAAATACTGTCGTGGACAAAAGCGGCAAATTGCTTCAGTTAAAACTGTAAACTTGATTTCAAACTAGTGCTTAGTGTAACTTACAATTATCAGGAAACGGTAATCACATTCAACGAACTGTCTGCGTGTGTTCTGAAAACGACAAGCAATCATCCCCATATCAAATATTCTATACTCGCAATTCGTACTTATTTTTAGGACAGGCAAACGGACGTTTAGTCCCTCGAAGATTTAGATCGGAGCGTGGATTCGTTCGAAGACTGAGTCCTTACAGGCGACGCCATCCCTCGTAACATTTTAGAGACATTGCCAAATATGTTTTTAAGTTTGCTTTCTTGTCCGTGGTAAGCGGGTCAAAGACGAATCGCAATTTGATAAAAACGATTACAGATTACCTTTAGAAGCGTAACAGTAACTAACCATACTTGTACTTGTAATTCATGTCTCATCAGTGAAAACAAATGTAATTAGTAGTTATATTGTACCTAATCAAAATCTAAGTATAAATCAATACAAAAGTAATATTTAAATATGAAAAGAACAAATAAATGAAAAAAAAAATATAAATAAAAACAATTAAAGTAATCGGAAGATTGGTGTTTTAATTTAAAATATCGGTATCAAGGCATCTCTAGACAAAAGGACAGCACAAATTTAATCGGCAAATTGTAGGTATATATGCTGTATGGTAGTAAGCGAGTACGTGAGACCAATTTGTTTCTCGGCTGGATATCCTCAATCTGTGACGCTAAGTTATAGACATATTTTATTAGTTTGGTCATGGCAACATTATACAAGGTAATCTCATGCTATCATGTATATTTGTTTAAATAATAATTCATTGACAACTTCCAAATTTCAAAATGTAATGCACAACTTGTGTTCTGTGCCAAAAAAAAAAATGATAGTGCCTATGGTTGAGATTCCCGGCATATATATATAAATATATACATTTTTTTAGTGTATTTATATTAATACACATGTAAAAAAAACTAAGATTTATTCAATTCAATCCAGTGTTCGAAAATAAACAGCACACTAATATAATGTATCGATTCGATACACTTTAATTGTAGTGTACATGGCGGACCACTTTTTGAAAACTATTTGATGTTGGTTTTATTATAAACGCAAGGATAATGAAAAACAAGTAAAAAAGCTGTAAGTTCGGCCGGGCCGAACTTTGAATACCCTCCACCATTAGGTACAAAATTTGGCAATTTTCAAAAAAATAATAATAAAAACAAAATATTCGAATGCGAAACTTGAAAACAAAATCTGTTTATAATGTAGCTAAAATCTTCAAAATACCGAAAATAGGGAGGGGTTAAAATACTTGGACCTGCACAGACAATTTTCTGTCATAGGCTGTAGCATTCATTACGAACTTCAACTACTTAATTTGAAACAATTCCGATTAATAATGTCGCTAAAATCGTGAAATTACCGAATATCGGGAGGTACCGTTATATGGGGGCTATACGAAGACGTGGACCTGCACAGACAATCTCCTGTCATAGTATCCATTACGAACGTCAACTACTTAGTTTGATACAATTCCGTTATATGGGACATACGAAGATGTGAACCTACATGGCCTACATTAAGAACTTCAAATACCAAATTTGAAACAATTTCGGTAAATAATGTCGCTAAAATCATCAAAATACCGAATATCGGGAGGTACCATTATATGGGGGCTATACGAAGACGTAGACCTACATGGCTTATTTTCAATATCAAAAATCCTAGACATAATACACATTTGAGTAAATGTTTATCAACTTGCTTCATTTCGTTCGTACCACCACGGGGGAGTAAATATTGGACAAATACCCCCGGTCAAAAACAAATCTTCCAAAATATATTTGGACATAAGGGGGCTTCCAACGTATTGTAGTGTTATAGGGTATCACATGGTCGGCCCCGCACGACTATAGCCCCTGCTTACTTGTTTTTCATATGTATGCATTTTTTAATTAAATTAAACGTTTTGTAACGGAAATGAAACTTTTGCAACGGAGGTGAAATATTTTGCAACCGAAATGAAACTTTTAGATTTATAGAAAGAAACATAGCAGAACATTTTTAATAGTAGTATTTAAAATAATCAAGTAATTATTGCTAATTTATACAGGGTTGCCCATATCCGACGGACCTTTGGGCCCTTTGGACCCATTCCAATCGACGAGGCTTGTCCGCAGGCAACATTCTTTGTGTCAATTGAATTTTGTACGGGAACAAATGCAAATCAATGCGAATAATCCGTTGTAAAGTGGACCGAGCCATGTCCAACTGATGAGAACGGCGTTTTTGGAATGTTCTTGGGGACCTCTCAACACTGGCTCGTACGGCAGCGATATTCTCGGCCGATCGCCTTGGTCGACTTTTATATGGCCTCTTCGGTCGAAAATTTTTCGTATAAACGCTTAATGGTGTTCTTAGAAGCGCACTTCTCACATTTTTAGAAGCTCGTTGAGTTTTCACAATTGACTTCTTCTGTTGAATGTAAATTTCAACTATTTCAGAGCGCTCGCGTGGCGTGTATTGGTTCATGGTAAAAATCTGTTTGGACTGACGCTTCAAACGCGGTATGTCATTAAGCGATGTGACATCTCTGTCAAAAGTTATGGCGTTGGCAGATGGGTCCGTCGAATATGGGCAACCCTGTACTTAAAGAGGATTTTTGATTATTAATATCTATGTTTACTAATATTATTTCATGTTTTTCCAATTATTGACAAATCTAAATCTGTAAATCTAAAATATTCATTTTTCAAAAAGTTTCATTTCGGTTGCGAAAGGTTTCATTTCAAATCAAAAGGTTTCATTTGATTTGAAAAAGCTATACATGCATTTTCAAATATGTTACGAACTTTGATTCAATCTGCGTATTTACATTAGGAAATGTAGTAGAGCTAGAATTTAGAATTAGAATAGAATAGGCTTCAAAAAGTAATGACTCGTATCTTACACAAGATGTCATGTTGCACGAGATGTCATGATTTTAGCTCTATCAATTTAACGGACACCATTCACTATTAATCGCACAGCTTTCAAACCCATATTGAATAGTTTTAATAGTCTTGACTTTCATTCTATATTTAATACCTTTTTCTCGGAAATACAATCTAAATACTAAGAAATAACAGCTGAAATACGATTGGAAATTCAGGCTAAAAGGTTTCAGGTTTTACAAGTTTCTGTTTTAAAATTTTTGACGGATTTTTTTTTAATTGACAATAAGAATTTAACATTTAATAGTATTCCATACTCTTCGACATATGATGGAGATTTTGTTATGTATGGCATTCCGCCTATGTCAGATTGATTGTTCAGTATTTTGACCCTTTATAGATGAGATACCTAAGGATATAAATATTACAATATGCCTGATTTGGACTGTATCTACTACTAACTGCACTTTATATGATTGATGTGATAATTTTTGGAAAATGTTGAAATATGCGGTAGGTACTTCATCTGAAACTGATAAAAACATTGGTATGTGTAATATTTGAAGAAAATCTGACATCTGTTACCAATTTAATATTAAGTTATTCGGAAGGTACCGGCCTAATATACCCCATCCGTACACCAGATATTGAGTTATTAAAAATGTTGGCATGTGTTTGAAGAAAATCGGATGCTTATATCCCACCAGTGCGCACCAGCCAGCCAGCCAGGCAGACGGATGGACGGATGGTCCTGAAACCGATTTGGTTCAAAAATATAAATATCTACCTTACATGTATAAAAGAAAAATGAGTTAGTTACTACACTTTAACTTAAGAACCGCTGGACTGATTTTAACGATTCATACAAATTCGGAATTGTCTTCTGTTCGAAAAGGATAATGTAATATGTTAACATTTTAGTTTTGACTTTTGAAATGTACAATAGTAATGTTTTATTTTGCATGATTTTTTTTTCCATTTTGACTTACTTTCTTCTAATGTAAATTTGTAGAGTTTTCATATTTTATTTTTGAATTCGAATATTAATACCAATTTATTTAATTGACTTGATTTCTTAAGAACTGAAATTGATGGCGGGTTACATGGAAGTGTAGTACCGAATTAAGTGGTGGCGAAACGGAATAGATGATATCGAAATAATTTAACCCGGTCACACCAAAGTTAAAAGATAATTACTTTTTCAAAATCCCTAAAAAACAGGAAAAAGAGCCTCTAATCGGGAAAAATTCGAAAAAAAAAAGTTTCAATGAAAGCGAATTTTAAAATAATAGTACATTCTATTGACAAACTTTGTAAGGATCTTTAAACATTTGCCGGAAAAAATCAGCGAAGTTGAAGATTTTTTCAAATTGTTATTCTTCTGTTGTAATTGTTTTTCAATTTGTAATATCATATTGAATTCAGAGAATTTTTTGTGAACAAAATAAAGAATAATTTTTCACTATATACAATTTTTCACCAAAAAATGAAATAAGTGTGAAATAGGATGTTAACTGACATCTATCTTTCAACTCCAGGGCCTACATCGTGGTTCAGCTGGAAGATGCTAACACATTTAAACAAACAAAAATGACCGAAAAAGCCTAATGGGGCTCATTTCAAAGCGTGGACCTCCTTCTTTCATGTGACAATAATCCGTCCAATAAGAATCAGTAAAATACCAAATATAAAGGGTGCAAATAGTAGAGCGAATGGGACTTTTAGTAAGAAAAGGACATTCAAGATACCTTAAATCGGTTTTGCAGGTCATGGTATCGATCATAACTCACGGATAGGGGTACAAACCGATTTTATATTTATATAACCATCGTATGATTTAAGCTATTTTTGGGGCTTTGGTAACTTTTTTTCATATTTTGGCCCTTATTTGGCATTTTTGTTTCTAAGGGGGTAGAGAACCTCTTCGCATAAAATTTGAAATTTTCAGAGTAGGGCCATTTTGGTCTTGACCACATTCACCAATTGATTTGGCTAAAAATTGTTTTATGCTACCCTGGGGTAGGAACCATCATACAGATAGTTGCCACATAGGAATTTATTTAACTAAAGTCCCCACATTGGAGTATCCCCAAGTCCACTTTCACGTCTTATGTGTGGTCAGAAAAGAAAAATTTTGTATTTTATTGAATTTGTAAGCTCCAAGAGAATATTGTATAACCCTCATTTGAATATATCCCTGATTTCAGATATGACCGTGGTCTTGCCCACGTTTTTCAACTGATTTGGCCTTTATTTGGCATCTTGGCTTTTTTATTTCGAGGGTCTTGACCACATTTTCCAATCGATTTTGGTGTTTTTAGGCTACTTTGTGGATAGAGAACCATCTTACAGAAAAATGTCAACATAGGCAAATATTTTCGTACAGTCCCCATATAGTCCCCAGAGCCACCGATCTATAGTGATTTTTACCGATTGGCGGACAACAACACGGTCATTGTTTAATCGTCAATGAATTTTTCTATGAACAAGAACATAGACTTTTTGGGTGTAAAAGCCTAATTAATATTGACTATTCAGAAATTATTTTGCCCTCCTTCCATAGGTATTTATTTCTATTTAGTCGGATCAATATTTATATTAAAATTTGTTCACCTTTATGAGCCAGATATGTGA